TGTTATCATTTGTTAATATCTTCTCCCAGGAGGTCTCCATGTCCTCCTGACTGCGAGTCTTTTTTTTTCCCTTGGTCCATTTTGGAGCATGAGGCCATTAACCCCAATTTCTATTAATACTAATTATGCCCGGACGTCGTGTCGCGATATCTTCATAAGGACAACCTTGGGAGCAGTCCGACCAGAAGAACCCTGCGAGCCAGGACGGATTCCATTGTCTTAGTGATAACTTATAATTTAGCTACAATCCTCCATTATCATTCTGATCTTTCTTGCATCATCCATTTCTTCGATTGCGGCATTATCGAATCATCGGGAGTTCTCATTACATATTGACTTGCTCCGCCAGGCTCCCCACCAGAGAGGATCATCTCTACTTGATCGCTCGTTGCGCATCCACGCCCATTCGTTACTCCATGCCTTCATATTTGACTCCCTGAACGGCCCTCTTTGCCCCAATTAATCTCGGCGAACAACTACGGAGTAGTCTAAACGGCCAACTCCTGCCTCTGTTTGGGATTTCCCACGGCGAACCAAGAATTGACTCTAGATTCCGCATTCGGCGCTGCCAACCCTGGTCGCGTTCTCTTGCTTCTTTTCTTTGCCCTCGTTTTTCTACCCCGCAATCTCTCCTCGCTGCAACCCCGAGGCTCTTCTCCCGCATTCATCCCTCCCCTCTTTTCCTGACTCTCTCTCTCTCTCTCCCTCTAAAAACCCTCCCCACAACTCGAATGACACAACAAAAGAAGACCATTGCGGTCGTGAACGCCACGGGCCGACAGGCCGCCTCGCTCATCCGCGTCGCCTCCGCTGTCGGACATAACGTGCGCGCCCAAATCCACTCCCTCAAAGGCATCATCGCAGAGGAGCTCGAAAGCCTCCCCAACGTCACCCTCTTCCAGGGTCCTCTCCTCGACAATGTCCCGCTAATGGACTCCCTCTTTGAGGGCGCCAACCTCGCCTTCATCAATACCACGTCGCAATCCGGTGACGAAGTCGCCATCGGTCGTGCGCTCGCCGACGCCGCCAAGCGAGCCGGATCAATCCAGCACTACATCTACAGCAGCATGCCCGATCACTCCGTCCACGGTCCTTGGCCCCCCGTGCCCCTCTGGGCCCCGAAATTTACGGTCGAGAATTACATTCGACAGCTGGGCTTGCCCGCGACCTTCGTCTACACCGGAATCTACAACAATAATTTCACAAGTCTACCCTATCCACTGTTCCAGATGGAGCTGATGCCGGACGGGAGTTTTGAATGGCATGCGCCGTTTGATCCGGATATTCCCTTACCGTGGCTAGATGCGGAGCATGATGTTGGCCCGGCGTTGCTGCAGATCTTCATGGACGGGGTGAAAAAGTGGCACGGACACCGGTATGTTTTTCTTTGTTTTCCTTTTTTTTTTTTTTCTTCCTTCCGGAATACTCCGTCCCCCTCGCGCGAATTTGTTATCTCGCATTGGCTCGGGGAGGGGTATTTTTAGAATGCGACAAAGCTAATCAAAGCTCGGTCTAGAATTGCCCTCACGTTTGAAACGCTCTCCCCCAACCAAGTCTGTGCGGCGTTCTCGCGCGCATTGAACCGCCCTTGCAACTACGTTCGCGTGCCCCAGATCGAAATCAAAGTAAATATTCCGTCCGGATACCGGGAACAGCTGTGGGCCTTGGAAGAGGTGTTTGGTCGCTGCAACGCGCCTTACTTCCCGCAACCCGAATTCTCCCGCCCGGCAGCAGGTTCTCCCAAGGGACTGGGTCCGGCCGGTGGTAAGGGCGCCGGTGCGGGAATGATGCAGGGTCCCGGAGGTGTGATATCGCTTCGAGTCACCGACGAGGCTCGACATCTATGGCAGGGCTGGCGAGATATGGAGGAGTACGCGCGGGAGGTTTTCCCCGTGGAAGAAGAGGCCAACGGATTGGATTGGATGCTGTAGGGTCGCGTCTTTCATGTCGGACAAGAGTGTGCATCATGCCAATCGGTGACTGATGTTCCTTATCTTGCTTTGATATGGTTGCATGGCTTGTGTACCCTCTGCTCATATCTGCCGTTTCTTTCTTTCTTTCTTTCTTTCTTTTTTTTTTTTTTTTTCTTTCTTTCACCCCCTTTTCACCCTCCTCCGCTATCCGCTCCGTCGCTCCTCTTCTTTCTTCCCCTTCTCTCTTCTCTTATTCCTTTCTCTGCTTCCTTTTTCGTCTCATGCCATCTCATTGGTCTATGCATATCTGGCGAATCGGCCTGGGTCTCCATCATTATCATTGGGGAAACAAAAAAGAACTGCTTTTTACCTTGCCTTTATTAATTTAAGGGTAACCTACATTACCTATTATCATAATGGGAAACAAACCAAACAAACAAACCAAACAAGAGGAAAGGAGGAAAGCAAGCATGCCAACGAAGTAATGCTGCTTGACTTTCTTTCCTCTACTTGCTCATGACCCAAAACAAAACAAACAAAACAAACAAATCAAAAGTTCTAATGGTATTTTCTGGAATTTCTGATTTCTTGCAGAGTGGTGGAATCAATCAACCAATATGAAAGGATTGGTTGCTTGGGTCTGTATCTCATACCTACAGAGGATGGGATTGAATTATGGATGAATTGGATGCATGGGATGGATGAAACGCACGCCACGAAATCACAGCATGAAATCTCAAATAATGAATGAGATGGGTGATTTGGTTTGCATTGGATTTTCATGTCAATCACCATGAAAAGTTTGTCGTTTTTGTATTTTTTTTATATACTTATTATTCCCCTCGGGTGTCCAATTTTATGCACACTGGCGGCGGTTTGTTTTGGTTGCTTGATCTTTTTTTTCTATCAAGATAATTTATCTTCTCTTCTTTGGGATATTCTCTCCTCCTTTCATCTTCTATTGCATAATTTTGTTTTATCTTTCTAGTTGAATATGGATGGGATAGGGTGATACCCCTTTCATGTGCATTTACATCTGGCTTTCCTCTTACATCTTCAAGTAACATCGCTGTTCGTTTTACCTCTTCCTTTATCTTCATTAATGTGAACAGGACTTGTATCATCTCTATATAGCGTAATTGAATCCAAATACCTATAAACCTAGCGTATTAGTATAGCGAGTACTTTATTTCATGGGTATCTTTTCAGAGTATCAAACAAAGTGAAAAATGAATAAATGCCTAGAGCCTTAACACCCCAATACAACCAGTCTCCTTCCTCTACTCTTTACCGGAACATAAACACACACACCAAACAGCCCTCACCTTCCCACTATCCCCCTCTCCCTCTCCCTCTCCCTCTCCCTCTCCCCATCAAGATCAGCATCAATATCAGCATCAGCATCAGCATCAACATCAACGTCAACTCTAGAGGAAGGAACCTCATACAACTCAACCTCAACCTCGTCCTTCGATCCCCCTCTTACAGTCCTGCTCTTAAGCCCATACCCATGACCATGAATTATATACCCCAACCCCAACCCCAACACACGAGTACTAGTAACATTCGACCCACCCTGCGGGGTAGAGGTAAAGGTGTGAACCGTCCCTCTAACTTCTACACTCCATCTGCTGAGTGCCAGGGGCCTGACATGGTAATGTTGTAGCGTCGGCCAACGACATCATTGAATATGAACACCGATCCATGATGAAAAACGACACTCGATTCAGAGGACATCTTGGACCCGAGTGGCAGCAATCCATGAGTGAATTGATGTCTGGTAAGTATATTATGCTCGCCTTCTGCCTACGAAAACCGGGTATATACTGACACCATCCTGCTTGTCTCAGGAACGCTCTTCCGCATCTCTGAAGAAGAACTGGCGCAATCCGGTGACGAATCCATCCCATTAAAAAAGGAGGATATGCAGCAGGCCTAGGAGTTGCGCATAGCCTGCACTGTGTGGTGTGTCCCTTTGAACTATCACTCGTCGTGTCAAGAATGACTCTGATCTATTTGCACTTCCAACAGAAAAAAAATCAAAGAGTTCCTCTACCACAAAGACGTCTACCCAGGAATGAACGAAAGCAGTGGAGAGTTTCTATATCTTCAAGACCACGCAGGTCAGTCAGATCTTCGTACTTCTCATAGCTCCGCCTATGTACTGATGCTTGATATAGAGCACTGCCTCGATTTCCTCCGTCAGGGTAGCTTATGCAATCTGGGCTACTCTCTATACACGGTATACTGGGGTCCACGCAGACAGGATATCCCAACACATAACGTGCCCAAGGTGCAGAAATGCGCGAACTGGGATAAACTCCATACGTGAATGGAGGGACGGGCTGCGAATACCGATGAGTTGATCGGGCCTTGACGAGCCTGGCACGTTGCTTAGGAATGAAACATTTCAAGGTGTCTGCCGGTGTTGTTCTACAAGGAATTGAAGTAGGTTCTGCCTCTAGCTACTACATGTTCTGTCGCGAAATTTTTATCAATTATTTTAGAACAGTTAGCCTTAACGTAAACTAGAGGCTCTGGATAAAACTATATTTAACGCTTTCTGGAAGAAACTTTGGCAAGTCAAGTTCCAGTCAATGTCTCAAGGTACGCAATACAATACCGGTCCTTCTCATTAAATTCATGGATTCAAGGCTCTAATGATTCAATCCTAAGAATCCATTATCGTGGAAAGTGATATCCCCATCATTTCATGATAAGAAGGACACTCACCAGCTACCAGTAATAGAACACACTTCAATGACACCTATTCCGGGGAGCCTCAACCCTCCCCTCCCCCCACCTCCAAGCAATAACCGCCAACAAACCAACGCCGATCCTGTGATTTACCCACTATGAGCCGAACAATCAGGGTCTCAAATGTGACATACTCGAGTCATGCAGTCAGAGGCCAGCAGTCAACAGCAAATCGGCTAGACTTAATGTGCCAACAACTCTGTCTAACTCCGGTAGACAAAGAAACAAACTTAATAGTGCGGGGCTCAGCTCAGGCATCATAGCCAACACTCAGTACTAGTACACCTCATGACACCTACCTTATTCCCTCGAGAATGTAGTATATAATATATGACAACAGCTCTCTCTCCCCCTCCCCTTTTTGGGACTCACCAAAATGTCTCCCCCAATTCGAATCGCCATCCTAGGCGGCGGCCTAGCAGGCGCATCACTTCTCCACGCCCTCTAGGCACACTCACACCTGGACGCGCACATTTTCGAGTCCGCATCTGCCTTCAAAGAAGCCGGCGTGGCCATGGGCGTGGCCAGCAACGCCCTCGAGGCACTCGATCTCATCGGCACATCGACCGCGCAGTGTCTCCAACGCGCGGGGTCCGGTTCATGCTGGCCCAGGGTCCTCATGCAGGGGAGAGGTTTGGCGAAGTTGACAGGACGGATGGTCGGAAGAGTGTTACTAGCATTGTTCATCGCGCGGCCTTTTTGCATGAGTTGCTGGCTGATGCCAGTCCGGAGCGGATGCACGTGTCTAAGCAGTTGGTGCGGTTTGAGGAGCGGGTCGATGGCTCCTTGACGCTGTATTTTGCGGACGGGTCGACGCATGACTGCGATGTGTTGGCCAGCGCTGATGGGATTAGAAGCACGGTGCGGAAACTTCTGCTCGGTGTCGATGACCATGCTGCTGAGCCGCGGAATACGGGGGCGTGGTGCGTCATGACCCTGAAGCCGTATGCAGCGGCTCAGGCGAGTCTGGGCGCCGGGCCTGTCGATATCGAGAATGCGCGCGAATATATGTGGATGGGCGAGGGGGCGTGGATCATGCATAACCTGCTACAGGATGGATAGTTGGTGCAGTTTGTCGTGGCCGCGTACGAGAAGGACGCCGAGGGGTCAGATCGAAGACATCGCACTGTCGGCGCGGACGAGATCAAGAGGCTCTTCGAGGGCTTTCCGGCGCATTTGGTCCGCGCGGTTGATGAGGCGAGTCTCCTTCCTTTGATCTCAAGTTGTATACCAGTTAACATAGACCAGCTCCTCTGCGATCAGCCCGAACAGCCCGCCATGTATCTCTGGGACCATCCTCCAGCGCGCACGTACGTCTCTGAATCCGGGTCGGTCTGCATTATCGGCGACGCCGCGCACGCCACGACTCCCTGGCAAGCCGCCGGCTGCGCAATGTCCATTGAAGATAGCCTCGTCCTGTCGACGCTCCTGGGTCGGGCGCGATCAGTGTCGGACGCGCAGACAGCGTTGAAGGTGTACGATCAAGTGCGGCGTCCGCGCACGCAGCGCATCGTCGCGTCGAGTCGAGGCACAGGGCAGATCATGTCGGGGTTGACTGAAGGGTTTGGATTGGACTTTGAGAAGTTAAAGGCAGGCTTGTTGCCGCGGTGGGACTTTATCGTTGGCTTTGATAATGAGAAGCATCGGGAGGAGGCAATTCAGTTGTTGAAGAGAGAGCTTTAGGCTCGGGGATGAAAGAATCAGAGTTTCCATCGCTAACCTCTTTTTTGTTTCCCTTGTCACTTTCCTGGTTTCCCTCTTGGTCCTGATAGGTCTGCATGCAGAGGTGCGTTTCATGTGTATGCAATGTTCGCTTGCAAAGTTGGATATTTACCGGATTAAACAGACATTATGAGTCACCTATAAAAAAAATGCACCGTCTAATATTCAGCAAAGTATCTAGGTATATGAAGCTGAGAATCCAAGTTACTTACCTAAACAATAAAGCCAAAACACTCCAGGATGTCCATTTGCTCTAGCCAATAGAGCGCTAACGCCTATACCCCACAGCTTCCTGGCAGAAAAGAAAGACCTAGAATGTATATATATATCCAATCCCTAACACATCCCATCCGAACTCCTACCGATGCTCGCAACACTCGGCGACGTGATTAATAAATGTTGATCCGGATCTTTAGGTCCCCCCTTGGAGCGGCCGCGCGCCGAGGACGCCGGATCAGAGGGCCCTTCGCGAGCGCTGGTCGAGCGTCGACCGGTAAACGACGACCCCAGCCGTGCGTTCCGGGCTGAATTTCGCCATTTGGCGATCGGGCTTTTTTCCTGTATATGGCTGATGAATTTCGGCAGCACTGGAAACCCCGCGACCATGATTCCGAACGACATCTCGGGGACGGCCCACGTGCCTGCTAGGTAGCCGTAGTACGCTCGATTTGAGGTCTGGCTGGTGATGATCGAATAGGCGAGTCGGACGATCGACGCGATGCAGGCGCTGTGGGAATTGTTAACGTTAACGAGAGAGCCCGCAGGGTCGGTCTGAAGCTTGAGTGTAGAGGGAGAGAAAGGGGGAAGGAAGTACTGTACATACAATAGACCGAGTGAGAATAGTCCGGAAACTGCCAGTTTCTTACGCAGCGGCGAATGTAACCCCCAGATACGTCGCTGAGGCAGGATTAGAATGAGCAGGTCCGAGGCGGCATTAATCGCGCCCGCAACGAGGGTGATAAGGCGCGTGTTGAGACAGGTCCCGTTCGCGATGAATACATCCCAGCTTCTGCTGATCGGGCGGCATGAAAATATCTGAATGAACGTGAAAACAATGTAGAAAATGCCGTTGGCCCACATTAAGATGTGACATGTTCGGGAGAGCGTTTCGTCGGACCAGAATATCTCGAGGATGTTGAGTAGGATGGCAATTTTGGTGAAAAACATGCACATGCCGTAGAACGCGGAGCCCACGTAAAAGCGCTGCCTCTATTTATTAGGAACTGCGTCTTGTGACCCTGGTCATTTCATTTAAAAGCCCACGTACAAAAAGTAGGTCGATAAAATCCTTGAGACGCAGATTCCATTGATCGACCATTGGAGAGGCATCGGCAGCTAGCCACCCACTGACCAGGTAAGCGACAAACATAAGCTGGTCCCAATTAGTTAGACTGACGTTGGATTCAAACAGAGGCAGTCCTACCCATCCAAGAATGAGGGAATCTGCAATCATTAGACACACATCAATAAAAGGTATGTCCGACTCACAATCCGCCACTTTGACCCGACGTAAGATCAAAGCTCTCGTGTAAATCCGGACTACCAGCGCAAACGTCGCCAAGAGGCCAAAGAATATGATAATAAAATACGACGCAGCCTTTTGGTTAGGAGGGTTCGTCAAGTTCGACTGCATTCCTGGTGGGGGAGTGGCAGCTGGGCCCTGGAGAAGCGCTTCACGCTCCTCCGGTGTAACTGACTCCATGATGGCTGGATGTTCCGGAGCGAAAGAGCGCACGTCACGGCCTTTTATTTAAAGGTGAATGCCGAATGACCAGGATTGTATGTGCAACCTGACGCATGGGGCCGGAATGCGTCCATTGGTCCTATAGACAACCTATCGGGCCTGTCTAGCGGTTCCAAGTCCTTGTCCTTGTCGTCCATACGTGTATTTTAGCAGAGACGGGCTGGTTAGACACACAGTGGCCAATCATGGACGTGATGATGTATTAAAATAATCATATCTTAGTCCATCGGTAATGAGCATGCGAGCCTCGCGAAAAAAAAAAAAAAAGAGGCAGGTAAGGAGGCAGCCGTCTTACGTGCAGAAGAAATTCAGCTGGCCCGGCACAGAGTCCCAGAATAGGGCAATCCTCAGCCGCTCACGAAACGCTGACTTTCCTCATGCTGAGTCTGACTCCGTTCCCCGCTTAGCCAAGGATCAGTAAGTCAGAAAAAGCTGCAGATCGCCCCGACTAGCAGCCTTAACCCATCTTAGGGTTAGTCGGGTCAAGGTTAACGTTTGAATTGACTCGAGGTGGATAGCAGGACATCCTGATTTAAGCTTATCTGCGAAGGTGCATCGTTGTTGGTGGATTTTTGAGAGGCAGAAGAATTGAAATATTAAACTTTCATTCATGTTATCGATCACTATATCCAAAATCAGAAGTATTTATATTTCTTCTTGAGCATGCCGTCATGCAACATCGGCACTTGAAAATGTAGAACGCAAAACAGAAACATGGAACATTCTTCGTAACGTCTCATCGGCTTTTATTGAATCCCTGTACCATAAAAGAAAGAAAGAAAGAAAGATATAAAGGTCAAGTTGATTGCAATGCAAATGGTGAGCTCCATAACTGCTTTCAGCTTAACCAACCCATCTCCTAGCGCTGTAGAAGACACGTCCCCAGGGACCAATATCACCCCACTGGGGAGCGCTCGCGGGCAGCCAGCTGGCAATACCACCCATAACGGTTCGCTCGGGGTGAGGCATGATGGCAAGAACGCGACCGTCCTCGTTGCGCACACCGGCAATACCTTCCGGACTGCCGTTAGGGTTGAAAGGATACTTCGTGGTCGGCTTAAGAGTGGCATTGTCGACGAACTGGACGGGAGCAAGCCCATCACGGACGAAAGTCTGGGCCGTGACGCTGGAGGACTGGGCAAATGAGGCACGTCCCTCTCCGTGGGCAACGGCGATAGGCAGCGACGAGCCGTTCATGCCGTGGAGGAAGACGCTCGGTCTGGCGGGATCCGGATCCGAGACACGGACCATACAGACACGGCCTTCGTACTGCTCACTGGCGTTACGCTCGAAGCTCGGCCAGTTCTGGGCGCCAGGAATCAGTTCCTTAAGACGGGAGAGGAACTGACAACCGTTGCAGACACCAAGAGCGAAGGTGTCCGGACGCTGGAAGAACGACTGGAATTCATTTCGCGTGTTCTCGTGCAGTAGAACGGACTTGGCCCAACCCTGCCCGGCACCAAGGACATCGCCATAGGAGAAACCACCGCAGGCAGCAAGACCGACGAAGCTGGCGAGCGACACCCGTCCGGAGATAACATCGGTCATATGGACATCGACGGCAGAGAAGCCAGCCATGTTGAAAGCGAAGGCCATCTCAGCCTGGCTGTTAACACCCTGTTCACGCAGGATAGCCACGCGCGGCTTGTTGCTAAACGGAGACATTTGCGTCAAGCTCGTAAGGAACGGCACGGCCTTGTCCTTCGGGTCGAAGCTGGGGTTCCACGACAGACCAGGGTCGGCGTCATCAAGGATGTTGGCAAACTCTTGGTCCGCACAAACGGCGTTGTCACGCATCTTCTGCATGTGGTAAGACGTCGAGGACCAAGTCTGCTGCAGGTTGGCACGGCTGTTACGGTAAATCAAAGAGGCCTTGTGGTAAATAGCAAGGTTCTGCTTGTGTCGTTCCGAAACACGTCCGATCTTGTGAATCAGGCCAGCGGGAGGACCACAGGTGGCGAAGCAAGAGCGGAACTGAATTTCATGCTCCTTCCGCACCTGGAAGACGGCACCCAGCTCCTCGGTGAACAGAGTCTCGACGAGGCTCTTCGTATCGAGGCCAGAACAGATGTTGTCAAGCATGATCTCAACGCCCGCGCGTCCAGCAAACATCATCTCAGCCAGAGTGGTGAAGAGACCACCATCGGAACGATCGTGGTAGGCCAAGACAATGCCCGCTTCCTGCAGCTGCTGAGTAGCATCAAAGAAGTCCCTGAAGATCTCCACATCACGGACATCGGGGCACTCATCGCCGACTTGCTTGAAGACCTGCGCAAGGGAGGAGCCGCCCAAGGTCTTGCGACCGAAAGAGAGATCGACGAACATCAGGACAGTGTCACCGACATCCTCGGGGCGGCGAAGGGCAGGGGTCCATGTCTTTCTGAAATTGCCGACCGGAGCGAAGGAGGAGATAACGAGAGACATCGGGGCAGTGACCTCCCTTGCCTCCTTGGAGGCTTCGTCCGTCCACTTCATCTTCATGGACATGGAATCCTTTCCAACAGGAATGCTGATGCCGAGCTTGGGGCAGAGGTCCATACCGATGGCCTCAACCGCCTCATAGATAGCCGCACCCTCTCCCGGGTGGCTGCTGGCTGACATCCAGTTGGCCGACAGTTTCACGCGGCTCAGACGATCAACGAGATCGGCAGCCGCAATGTTCATCAGAGATTCCGCAACGGCCATGCGAGCCGAGGCACCGGGAGAAATGAGGGCGAGGTTAGGCTTCTCACCCATTGCCATAGCTTCACCGGTCTTTACTCCCTGGAGCAAGGTGGTCGCAGTGACAGCAACGTCAGACACGGGGGTCTGCCATCTGCCGACCATCTGGTCACGGGCAGTAAGACCACCGACAGTCCTGTCGCCGATGGTGATAAGGAAAGACTTGGAGCCGACGGCAGGGAGCGATAGAACTCGGTTCGCCGCCTCGCTGATCAGCTCACCCCGGTTAGGTGCAACTTCGGGCAGGTACGTAGTGAGGCCTGCGTCAATTGCGGGTAGCTTCAGCTTACGCGAATCGACAGTACGAGTCATCTTGGGTGGCTTTCCGAAGAGAACATTCAAAGGTAGATCAATCGGCTTAGGGAACTCCTTAGATTCCCGGTCGAGAAGGATGAGTCTCTTTTCCTCCTCCGAGGTGCCGCCTCCGCGACCCACGACGGAGAAACCACAGCGCTCACGATGAGCGATCGCGGTAAACTTGTTCATAGAGTCTTCACCGACAGCCATGACGTACCGTTCCTGGGCCTCACAGCACCAGATCTGCATAGGGCTCATGCTTCGATCGGCGTTATCGATCTCTCGAAGCTCGAACGTGGCGCCCAGACCAGAGTCTTCGATCAACTCAGGAAGAGCGTTGGACAGACCGCCAGCACCAACGTCGTGGATGAACTTGATCGGGTTATTGTCACCCATTGCAACGCAGGCGTTGATGACTTCCTGGGCTCTGCGCTGGACCTCAGCATTGCCTCGCTGCACACTGGCGAAGTCGAGATCCGCCGAGCCCTCACCCGACGTGATACTGGAAGCAGCACCACCACCAAGACCAATCAGCATGGCAGGTCCACCCAGCACGACGAGGAAAGCACCAGGCTTGACAGCCTCAGGCTTCTTGATGGCATGTTGAGGTCGGACGGTACCAACACCACCCGCAATCATGATGGGCTTGTGGTAGCCACGAACCTCACTCTGACCATTGCCAATGTCAATCTCGGTGAGGAGTGTGCGGAAATAACCAGAGATACAGGGCCGGCCAAATTCGTTGTTGTACGCAGCACTACCAATGGGAGCCTCCAGCATGATATCCAAGCTACTGGCGATGTGGTTCGGCTTGCCAACCTCCAACTCCCACGGCTGCTTGAAGCCCGGAATCAACAGATCGGAGACACAGTACCCAGAGAGACCAGCCTTGGGCCTTGAGCCGCGTCCCACGGCTCCTTCGTCACGGATCTCACCGCCAGATCCGGTGGCAGCACCAGGATAGGGCGACACAGCCGTGGGGTGGTTGTGGGTTTCGACCTTGGCCAGGAAATGAACGATCTCTTTGGTGTGATTCCACTCTCCAGTGAACGAATCAGGGGCCCAGAAAGCGGCCTCATCTCCCTCAATGACAGCGGCGTTGTCGCTATAGGCGCTGATCGTATGGTCGGGGTGTTTCTTGTGGGTGTTCCGGATCATGGAAAATAGACTGTTCGGCATCTGCTTTCCATCGATAACCCACGACGCATTGAACTGCTTATGACGGCAATGTTCCGAGTTGACTTGAGCGAACATGAACAGCTCAACATCGGTGGGGTCACGAGCGAGGGGACCGTTGGGGCCATACGCTTCAGCGAGGTAGTCAATTTCAGACTCCTCCAAAGCCAAGCCCATACGCTTGTTTGCTTCCTGCAAAATCTCCTTCGGGGACTTGTCGCTGCGCTGAAGGTGCACGGTCTCGAGGGGAAGCGGGCTGTGCTCGGAGAACATGAGGTGCAGATCAGGTTCATCCTGGCCAATTATTTGCGTCATCCGATCATGCAGAATGTCTTGGTATCCCGGCTTGTAATCGGAGTCGGCCCGCAGACACGAGATCTTCAAACCACGTTCGATGCGCTTCACATACTTGCGAAGACCGCAGACATGGGAGATACCCGTAGCCTGGGTGCTCCAAGGCGAGATGGTTCCGGTCCGGGGGAAGACGTAAAAGACATCGAAGGACCCATCCTCGGCGCTGAACGATTCCGGGATGTCCGTGATGTCGCCGTATTGGAGCAACTGCTTCAAGACGGCCTGTTGGGGTTCATCCAACGGCTGGGAGGTGTGAATGTAATGGACCCATTGAGCTCGAACATCCTGGGCACCAATGCTAGCCGCAATCGCATGGCCACGGGAGCGAGAGAACGCAACCGAGCCAGGAATGGCCAAGTAGGTCGAGTCGGAGGTCATCGTGAGGTTGACCGTGACGGAAGAAATTCTGAAGGTGGGGTGATTCCCGGGGTGAGTCAATGACTCCAAACGCGGGGGAGGACACAGGGACGCGAGGAGGCAAATGAATGCTCCACGAAGGAATGAGACTCACTTGAGAGAAATGTCGAAAGACAAATCTCCGAGATGTAGTTGGAATGGGCGTTCACGAGCACCGCGACGGGCGTTGAAGCTGCTCAACGTCGTAAAATTAATTCTTCCTCTCTTTCCCACCCGGAAACGCGGCCCCGCGCTAGTCCGCTTCCGGCTTATCGCCTGTCTATCAGTCACGTGGAAGCTCTCTGCGGAAGATTGTTCTCCCGTTATGATGCTGCCTCAGGCAGACAGTATCACGCCAGTTTAGCGGAAAGCAGCGAAGCTCATCGACCCATGAGGACAGAGAAAAGAGAAACGTCTCTCATGAACAATATGGATCTCATCCTGTCTTCCCATTTGCCTGTATTTGAAACGATCAAGACCGCTCCTAGAAGTGGACTGTTCCTACCAGTCATTGTCAACATTTCAACCAGCTGAGATACCCTGAGCAGCAGACACGTCCCTGTCTGATACATAATGTGATATCTCATTTTCCCAGAATGCACTTCTACATCGCCGACCGAGTGGGGCTACTTTGAGCTCTTTGTGGTGGCGCCCAAAGCCCGGGTCGGCGACTGTCAGTGTTACTCTGAAGCTTGAACTATAAATGCGGAGAAGCTCGTTCATTCCTGCCCCGCACTCTACCTTCACCATCTACTGAACAAAACATTTGCAGAGAACTGCAAGAATGGAGTAGGTGGACTCTTGATTCTCGCTTCTTTACTACCAGCTCTATACTTCTTTACTAATGACGTCGACTAGGAAAAAACCCCAGCTCGCTTCTACCCTCCCATCCTCGGACAATTACTATGATCTTGGCACCTATGAACGTCGGGTGACGACGAACTCACCAGAGGCCCAATTGTGGTTTAATCGCGGTCTGGTATGGGCGTATTCCTTCAACCATGAAGAGTCCGTTCGCTGTTTCGAGAAAGCCGCCGTCTATGATCCAACCTGCGCCATGGCATTCTGGGGTATAGCATACTCGGCCGGTCCCAACTACAACAAGGCCTGGGTGCGATTTGATCGCAACGATTTGGAACACTCCGTTAAGAGATCTAAGGCCGCCTTGAGTCACGCATTGAGCCTGGCCGACCAGGCCTCTCCGGTCGAACGCGACGTGATCCACGCTCTCGCTGCGCGATTTCCGACCGCCGACATCCCCACTAACCTCAAGACGCTGAATTATGCTTACGCAGAGGCCATGCGTCCGGTATACCATGCCTATCCCGATGATCGAGATGTGATAGCCTTGTTTGTAGATGCTTGTATGTGTCGTCGGCCCCGAGACTTGTGGAACGTGGACACCGGCGAGCCGAGCGACTCTTACACAGTCGAGGCTCGTACTGTCCTTGAATCAGGGTTAACAAGACGCGACGGCTATGACCAGCCCGCCTTCTGTCATTTGTACATTCATCTCATGGAAATGTCTCCCTTCCCCGAAATAGCCTTGCCTGCCGCGGACCGCTTACGCCACCTCGTTCCCGAAGCCTCTCATATGCTGCACATGGGGAGTCATATTGATATCGCTGTTGGAGATTATCGCCGAGTTGTATCATCGAACCACGATGCCATGATTGCAGACGATAAATATTTCTCGAGAGAGAAAGGATCAATCCTCTACACGGCCTATCGCGCACACAACATCTATGCAAAGGTGTACGGAGCTATCATGTGCGGTCGGTTCAAAGACGCCATCTCGGCGGCAAGGCGGCTGCATGATATTTTGACTGTTGAGATTCTGTCAGTCAAAAGCCCGCCAATGGCGGACTGGACAGAAGGTATCCTTTCGATCCTGCCGCATGTTTTGGTCCGGTTCGGGCGATGGGATGAGGTCCTTAGCCTCGAATTGCCGACAGACCAGGAATTGTTCTGTTCCACGATCGCGATGATTTTGTATGCCCGTGGAATTGCTCATAGTGTCCTAGGGCACATAGAGCAGGCCGAGCGCACCCAAAGCGAATTTGAAGCTGCGCGTGCCAAAGTACCGGATAGTCGTCTTAATAGCCTGCCGAGCAAAGAAGTCGACGTTTTGAGAGTGGCCTCGGCCATGTTACATGGAGAGCTTGAATACCGCAAGGGTAACATTGATTCAGCTTTCTCGAGTCTCCGGAAAGCCGTTGAGCTTGAAGACGCCATTCCCTATTGTGACCCACCAGCATGGATGCAACCTGTCCGTCATGCTCTTGGCGCATTACTGTTGGAACAGAACCGGGTTGAAGAAGCTGAGCAGGCCTTCCGGGAGGATCTCGGTCTGAGCGAGACCTACCCTCGACGACGGGCTCGGGTTAATAACGTCTGGGGCTTGCACGGGCTTTACGAGTGTTTGATACGGTCTGGGAAAAGCAAGGAGGCCTTACTTCTTCGTAATCAACGAGACTTTGCGCTGGCAGCTGCGGACACACCGATCACTGCATCGTGTTATTGTCGCTTATCGACCTGCGCGGATAAAGAGACGACCTGCTGCTCGGCGTCAGCGAAATCAACCTTGTAAAATGCCGGAGGCTGATCACCATTGAAGAAACTGCAATGACTGATGATCTTGTGCAAGGCATTGTTCATCCTCTGTCAATAAAAAACAATCGTTATCACTGCCATATATCATAGACTAAATTGACATTAGCAACACTGCGCTAAGCGTCAATATTACAGCAAGTTCACTACAAGAAATCCATTCCGTAGGAACCCAAATCCTGGAACAAAAAAACAGGAAAATGAACCATTAATCCTCGATTCGAGCATATCCAATTCCAAATGAAAACCTGGAGAAACCTGGAAGTAAAGACCACTAAAGCTAACCGAACCTCGCTTAGACGCGGTTGTCATCCACAACCACGCAAATACCGGTAGATCCAAGAGCAAATGAACCTTGCAATTGCATTCTCGTCTCGAACGTCAAGCATTGAATTATGGGTCATGGAGCTTGTCAATCACAATATCATTGTCAATGTCAGTCCCTGATAATATCAACTCGGCACTTTTATCAAATCCGATCCGATCGGACCCATATATTCAACAAAGTGCCGAAGGGCAACTTCGCTTCGCAACCGTCGCTTAGACCGAGCTCGCTTATCTATACACGCCTCTGGATTCGTGGATCGCAGACATGGATACTGGTACTGACTGGATGAACAAGACAGGGTTATCGGAGAGGGTTTATCGGATGTCAGTTACTCAGTTCAGCTCGGCGGGTCATGCCGTATGGCTGCTTAGTCCCAGGCATCTCTGGACACCAGCCGGGAAGGGCAATTGAAAACCAGATCGAGGGTTCACAAGATTAGCGAGGATGCGGCATGGCGGAGAGGGCCGAGGATCGTACCCAGAGATGTTGGTGGGTCGGTAGGGACCTTGCTATCCCGGTGAAGTTGAAATTTGATTACCTATTTGAGAGAATGAATGAGGATTTCCCGGTTACCTTCACTTACTATCCACTCAATGACTTGTTGAAATTGTCATTATCCAAGATGGTAGGTGCTCCGTGAGAACCCCGTAAATCTCGCAGTCACACTATAAACCACTCTGTATAATTAATTACCGATTAATATATTAAAGTCCCCGTCCCGTCAACCATCCTTTAGTGTCTCCAAGGTCGTATATGCCGTCTCCATAACCCACTTCACGTCTACACGGGATCCAAGTATCTACCGGGTTCAGGGGTGTTTAATCAAGTCATTTGGTAGTATAGGAGATTTAGTAGATCTTATCCGGATTGCGTTTCCTGTGCAGATGGTTCATTTGAATGCATATTGAATACGAATGTCTCGCGTGGGGGTAGAAACCTGCAGTACACCGTTGCTTGGTGGTTAGTATCTTAGTGTACGAGGTAGAACATGTATAAGGTGGTTAGAACTAATTAATTGTCTTTAATTAACGAGTACGGAGTAGAAGTGCTCGGTTTAGGTTCGGTCAAAAAGTTCCCTCAAATACGGCACCTACTCTATGTATCCAACCCACTGCAATACTAAATAGTAGATGATAGATAGGATACCAAGAACGGGCGATCCATGAGGCTCAACCTGAGCAACGACGCACGCACAATCATACGCCAACCAGAGCGAAGAAAAAAAAAAACGAAGAAAAGAACGAAAAAGGAAACGCTCCAACGCACGAGTCAAGAGACCCGCAAAGATGGAGAAAATCTCCGAATTGAACGAGCCAACCAATCCTCCTTTTCATCGCCTCAATCCTGTCAAGCTAGTGAGTGCCTAGTATGGAGTAGTAGTAGTGCAGCCTTGAGCTATCAGCCGCGTGTGGATGACGTCTCCCGTTGACTCTGCGTTGTCTATTCCGGAATAGTAGACAGACTGATCAGGTTCACGGTGGGAGCTGAATTGTGGAACGGACGGTACGATAAGAGTCAGATATGGAACTTGGTAAAGGTGGATCAAGCAGAAGATACGAACAGATAAAACAAAAACACGGACGGATCACGGAAGTCAGGGGGATGCCAGGACGGACACGATCCCAGATTTCCAAGGATGAAAATCAGGCACCCGAAACCGCTGAGGGCTGCGCACAAATCAGCATCCGCCATCGATGCTCCGAACCATGGTTCCAAGGTCAATTTGATGTATGGGAGATCCAGCACGGACTCCGTTTGACTCCGTGCATCGGTTTTTTTTGGGTCCTAGGATTCGATTGCGAAGTTGCGGTTTCAGCTTCAGCTCCATACCTATTTGAGGTATGTGGTATCTATTATGGAGTACTCTGGATGGAGTACTCTAGAAGATAGTAGTTTCACATTAACCCGGTACCCAAGTTCGACAGAGGAGAAGTTTGGTTCTGCCGTTGATCTAGAGACGGGAACGGACAGGAAGAACTGTAGAAGAAGCCTATGATGAAACAGGGGGGCAATTCCGTTCTATCCAGGTCGAACCGTGGGACAG